GGGGGGGGAGGGAGCGCTACGTTACCGCCACATGCCACTGGGGAGGTAGGGGTCCTCCATTGCGCAACATGTCACAATATTATATTTTGTATTTGCGTAAATTATGTTTAGGTTTAAGTTATTAATGGTTTAACCTTCTTACTCATTCTTTAGGCAGTGTTAAGGAGGGTGACTCCTATTTGCAGTAGTGTGTCAGACTTTCAGTCTAGTTCTGAGCTCTGTCATTCTAGCTTTTGTAGTGTCCAGTTCATAACAGCTGAATCTATCCAAAGTCAAACACTTGATTTTTTCCTCTGTTATACATATTTTTATCCCTGTAAGAGGCCATGAAGGCGTATAGTGTTGTGAGAGGTCGAGGGTCCCACATCTTCTAGACAGTTGGCTCATAGATGGCGGTAAGGTTGTCAGCCTTACACATAGGCCGCCCATTTACTCCCCAGGAAAATACCTGGTACTCATTTCTGTTATAGGCTGAGTCAACCACAAGGCCATATTGTGGCTGGAAGGATTAGGTAAATTGGAAAAACCAGTGACCTCATCGGGATTCGATCCTGCAACCTTCCGGCTTGTAGCATAGTGCCTCAACCAAGTATGCTACCACTACAAGCTGGAAGGTCACAGGATCGAATCCTGATGAGGTGGATTTTTTCAATTTACCTAATCCTTCCAGCCACACTATGGCCCTGGGGTCGACTCAGCCTCTAACAGAAATGAGCACCAGGAATATTCTTGGGGGTAAAGGGTGGCCAGCGCATAAGGCTGACAACCTTACTGCCATCTGTGAGCCGATAGTCTAGAAAATGTGGGAACCTCAACATCTCACAACCCTATGGGCCTCCAAGGCCTGTTACAAGGGATACCTTTACTTTTTTTTACTTACTTTTATACATATTTTTATGGGTGTTTGGTACAGTAAAAATTCATAATTTGTTTGTAAGAATTTTGGTTAAGGTTAAAATGTGTACTCTAAGTTTACAGATTTATAATTAGATAATTTTTCTTTTTATGTTTATACACGTGAATACTGTTGCTTTTGTTGAGTTCTATTTCTCCAAATGTCCTTGATTTCAGATTTATATACTTGGAAGATTGCAAACATGTACTGGAGGCATCTGGACTTGAGCAGTGGATGGCTCAAACACATGAAGAAATAAAACTGAAGGATTGTCCCCTGTGTAAAACACCCATTACCAAAACTCAGCGCTTCATGAACATAGTAAAAAAGGTGTACCATGATGTGCAGAATGTGAAGAAACGTGTTTATGGTAACACACGAAAAATTGAAGCCAGCCGAAATTATCTCGGGGTGCGACTGATGGCACACAATTCTATATATATGACAGGTAATTTTTATCATCTCCTCCAGGGTTAGGCTTTTTGAGACCTGTTACAGACATTAGAAAGCAAAATCCCTGTGTCATAGGGCTTTAATTTTTTCTTCTTTTGGCTGAGTTTGGAATCTTATCACAGCTTATGTTCTGAATTTATTCATTCAGTTTCTTCTGTATTGTTCTATAAATTCAGCCATTTTTGCAATTTGTAGCTCTTAACTTCATAATTTTTTATGGATTGTGTTATTATTTTGCAGTCCTTCACATGAAATCGATTTCTGCAGATATGAATTTATATTCTTACATGGCTTGAAAACCTATTTTTTTTTAGTTCCTAGTATTTTTAAAAAATATATAATTTTTATTTTCAAATCCTTTTCTCCTTCGTATGACTAATAAGGTAGTTAAATATATTAATTTTTTCCAGTGTCCTATCATTAATCATATCTTGCTTCCAATTGGCTTAATTCCTTATAAAGCCATTATTAACTTTTTCCCCTTGTTGGAGAGTTAACTGGAAAATTCTGCATCACTCTTATTGAAGTTGTATACTAAGTACGTGTATTAACATCAACTACAGATTTGTGTAGAACAGTGTGATTGTCCGAAAATAGCAGGTTGTCAACGTGAAATTTTCTGCATAATGAGACCGCCCGCACACGTGTGTGAGATATATATATATATATAATTATATATATTGTGACATGTCTAAGTGTTGCTGGGCAACAGGAGGTGGAACAGGTGGAACGAGTTACCACAAAGACAGACCCTTGATAAACAGTAAGGAATGCAACAGTAAGGAAAGCGGTGTTTCTCAGTGTTGTGCCAAGTAGAGCCAAAGCACACTGGTTGCTACACAGCAATAAACAACTCTCGGCAGCATTCCCCAGCAATGCCTGTAAACACGTTTACGCAACAGTGAAGCAAGGTCGGTTTTTCCGCCGTCCGACTGAGGGTTTATAAGAGAGACTGGAATGCCTAAGAAGTTAGTTGAAATATAGCAGCAGTCGCGGAAAGAAGACCCAAATGCGTGGTTAGAAGATTTAATGTGATTAGTGTGCGATAACTGAGAAGTCAGCCAGTGAAGACTTACTGCGTGCTGTAGTACAGTTATATTGGGAGTGTGTAATTCAGCGAGACTTGGATAGCTCCCGCGTTGTAAATACGTGGAGACTACTGAAGAGATTATTGTGTAGGTTGTTAAATAAACCAATTAACAATCCAAACTGTGTCTTCAGTAGACAAAACACGTTACAATATATATATTGACACGTTGTAGATATAGTATGACTACTCCTATGTGTCCCAATCTGCTGATGAGGAAGATAAAATAACTGCTTAAATAATTAGTATAGTTGACTTACAGTCAAGAGGTTTGTGTGAAGAAGGTAAGTAATAATAATTATATATATATATTGACGTATTTGCGCTATGCAGGACACCCCCTCCCCTGCCAGCAGTGACATAACAGCATAGGAGCTGTTGCTATGGTAACAGGCCAGTCAAGACTCCACCTCCCCCCCACATGGTGACGTAACGGGGCAACAGAACGGTATAAAAAGCTGGCTGAGCAGTATGTGAGCCAGAGTGTGTGATTAGGAGTGACAGTGCGGATTGTGAAGCCAGACAGAAGGCAGCGGAAGTCTAGAAGTCGCTGAGAGCAGAAGTATTTGTGATACTGCAGATGACAGTAATTGGGAAACTGTAAACTGTGTAAATGTGAGAGCAAGTAGAATAAATTCGCTATATCCAGAACGGCGTGAAGTTATTTGTCTCATGACATATACCCAACACATGACAATTTGGTGTCAGTAGTGGGATCGAACTTACACACGCCACAAGTTACAACGAATTATACTGCCACATGATGGAGATGGAAAAATTGTTCAGACGCCTAGTGGCAAAAATGGACGCCGATAGAAAAACTGACAAGGAAGAAATGGAGGTCAGTAGAAAGAGTGACAGAAGAAATGCTGGCAAGAATGGGCGCCAACATGAAATCCTACCAAGAAAAGTCAGAGGCCAATAGGAAGACCAGCCATAAAGAGTTGTTATCCAGATTGGAGACTGACAGACAGGCCGAGTGAAGAGAACTAAAGGAAGTGATGAAAATGATGGTCACCAGCCACAAGGAGATGGTGACCGAATTTAAACCCGAAACAAAGGATACCTGAAAAGAGACGACGGCTTGCCAAGAAACGACAGAGGCGCATCTAGGAGAGCAAGAGCCAACCTCACTGGAAACGAAACCTGAGGTGGCAAAACAAGACGAAGTCCCCAGCGTAGATGCCATACTGAAACTGGTCAGTGGACAGAAGAAGCGGCATAAGGGCAAAAAGCAAGCTGCAGGGCGGCGTGGAGAGCCAAAGGAACTGACCCAAGGAGATTGTGGATGCAGGATGAATGTGGCTGCCTCCTGCAGGAAGGTGTCCCGCTGTGCAACAGTGGCATGGCGCAAGAGGAACAACTTCAGGAAATCTTGGACCCAAAGAAGTAACGGCAACTGGAATAAAGATTACACGCTGTGCAGGACACAGGTGTATGAGACAAAATGAAGACAACGTTGAACAAGAAACCCCGAAAAGGACAAAGGAGAATAGACGTTGGAAGCACCCTGAATGTAACAATGGTATAAGGGACAGAGGTCTGAAACAGTGGCTACAAGGCAGCAGACAAATGAAGGATCAAACCACGAACCGCATTGAGGGGTGGAGCCAAGGAAAGTGAGCACATCAAAGAATTCCTCGGGTTCAGAATGGTGGCACCAAGTTTCGTCCCCAGTGGCAATACGGGACAGACAAGCATACTCTTCCTGATGGTATCATTGCAAGTGACCCAGTGATGCAGCCATTCTCTGAGTCTTCTGTTCCTCTGTGAGTTAATGTGGAACCCACTGTGCACAGATTTTGCGGTATAGCAGGTGTTTGTCACAGTGGCATGTATGGAACCGTGACTTATTCCCATCAAAAGACTAATTTCTTCCACAGTGATCCATCGGTTTGTGCAGATATATCCATCCCACCCAGCAATAACATCAGGAGTGATGACACAATGAGTCTGTCTTGGGCGAGCATCATCTTGCAGTGACCCACGTCCCTCTCGGAATCTCTTATGCCACGCCAGCACACGCGGACATGATATGCTGGGTTCACCATAAACAACAGCCTTGCGACGATGAATTTCTCGTCGCCCTACTCCTTCAGCAGTCAAGAAGCGCACTGTACTTCACTGTTCTTCTTTACCCACCTCCATTACTTGAAGTTGGATGACCACGCGTAGTGCTAACCTCACTTCCAGCACAATAAACAAGCAACTAGTATGCAAGAGCACGTCATCACTGTGCTTTCCCAAGTCTCCTCCAGATGTTTGTACCCTAAGCAAATTCCATTGTTACCAACTTGCGCGCCATATGAGTTATGCATGGTGACCCTTTTTCATTTTACTGCCCCTTATATGTACACATACACACAAATATATATCCCTCAGTTATATAAGGTAATTTTTTTCCCATGAAAACGGTTCATAAGGTGGAAATTCATAAATTGAAAATGATATTCCCAGTACTTTCATGTAAAAGTTATAGACTCCTCCATGAGTTCCAGAAAGATACAAAAATACTTTTAAAAGTTATAGACTCCTCCATGAGTTCCAGAAAGATCGAAAAGTACTTTTAACATACACTTTATTTGTAAATAAGCGTTAAAATAAGGGCAGTATTGCTTGTTTATAATATTGTTCCAAATAAATCTCTGTTATTTTACTCATGTTTGTGTTTCATGCTCTACTTTTGTTTTACATTATCAGCACAAATGTGGAACTTAAGAATTAACCAGTGAACCAACTGCCCAACTGACACTGATTGATAAACTACCTATCAAATGTATTATTCAGCTCTAGAATTATATTGCCATGTTGACAGGAGCATGCCACAGGGCCCTGTCTGAGGCTCCAAAATAAAGAAAAGTCCATAATAACCAGCCTTTAAAAATATAAATTTTCATGTGAGAACACTTTTATCTAATTATGTAGGTCCTTAGTAGCAAGCAGCTTTGTAGCACAACATAGTGCTTCAGGGCAAGGGTTCAATCAGGCGTTGGTTGATTTGGTCCTTGATATGAATACTGAGAACTGTTACTAACAATTTTGGAAAAAATAATGTGTGTGCTTGCGCGTGTATAATATATATATAATTTTCCATGATTATCTGCATTTCAGGTTCCAAAGAGTACGAAATCTTGTATGATAAGCTCTGGGATGAGCTGCAGCCTGTTCAACTGAAGAGACGAAACCCACTGAGTGTTATGCGTACAGATACCCTTGCAGTTCAGTTAGAGATGTTCTGCCAGCTGGTTGAGTGCTGTAGTAATGCTTGCTTACATTTGCGTGGAGAATCAAGAAATAAAGTAATTTCTTACATGGATACGTTGTTACATGCTGTGAAAAAGCGCGGAAGCAAGATCAGTGGACAAGAAATTGAGGAGATCAACATGGAGATTCAACGTTTTCACAGACTGTGCCAGCTGTACAAGATAAGAAGTGAGGGCGCATATAAAATGTATTGCAGTAAACCTGAGGTGAAGAAATGCTTCGACACAGCACACAGAATTGCATATTCCATAGAGAAATTTTCAAAGGAGTGTGACATGGCGCTGAAGGATGCCCTGGAAAATCTGAAGAAGGAAGTCAAGAGTGATGTCATCATAAGCGATGCTGAGAGGAAGATGATAGTAGGTGCACTCAGCTTCAGGCTAGGTCACTGGTATAAGTGTCCTAATGGGCACATTTATTGCATAAGTGAAGGTGGAGGGGCAATGCAGATAGGACAATGCAACGAGTGTGGAGCGGCAATAGGAGGTAGCAGCCACAGGCTTCTACCAGACAACAGCCTAGCTTCTGAAATGGATGGTGCCACTCATCCTGCATGGCCACAGTAAACATTTAGTCCTTCCGCAAAACGAGCTGTGTTTCCATATATCTTGTTGTTATACACAGGCGCAGCTGTAGTGAATGATGGTTAGGTAGTCAGATGATCTATTTTCTTCTTGTAATAACATTAAACTGACAAAAATTAAATTTTAGAATTCCAGAGTGCTGTGTTCTGAAAGTATGTGATATTTTGTTCTGAAGATTTCTGAAGATTTATGCTGTGATGTACAACTACTAGGACTACTGAGCTTTTGGACTTTGTCCATCATCTAATATTCTAAAGATCACTGCGTGCACCACTTTCCATCTTCAGGTGAAGGGGGGGGGAGGCATATACTGTGTGGGGTGTGTTCAGAACAATCAGGTTTTGTCCTCAGATCAGAAAACTACTACAGTGATTAAGGCATCTTAAATCAAAACAAAACAGTCTGGTAGTTGGAAGTGACTCTTGACAGTCCAAGAAAAGCATGTTCTGAAACCTTAAAATTTCTGTAATTACATGTTCTTTTATGTGTCGGTTTACCATAATAATATTAATCCAAAGTGTACTTCCAAATTCACAGCATGACCATTTCAATTGGCACATGCCAAACATAACCATCATCCAAGTGGCTCACTAATTGAATCTTATGAATGTGAAATACATTCATGTTTACGGTAAGGTTCATTTCACCAATTGCTCCACAATCACCCTCACCTATCATCTGGGGCTGGTACAATAGGCCAGAAGCGCCCGCAGTACAAGGGACTTAGTCCCACCCCACTAGCAAGGTTATAGATCTCATCATGCATCTTGTATGATAGACACGTCAGAGAAGAAATAAGCTCACTTTACGGAATTGTATAATTGAAAGTAGCGTAAAAAATGTATATTAACTGAGTACAATAGCCAGTGTTACACAATTCACAACATGATTTACCACTCACTCACGGAGCTGAGCCCTTCTTGAGTTGCCAATTGTGCAGCTACTCTAGAACTTCCCAGGATTTTATGGAACCTGAAGGTTCATTACTGTGTTCACAAGAACCCTCCACTGATCCCTATCCTGAGCCAGACCAATACAATCCATACCATCCCATCCAATCTCTCTAAGATCCATTTTAATGTTATCCACCCACCTACATCTTGGTCTTCCTAGTGGTCTTTTTCCTTCTAGTTTTCCCACCAACATCCTGTATGCATTTCTGTCATCCCCCATTCATGCTACATGCCCTGCCCATCTCGGCCTCCTTGACATCCAACAGAGTTGGATGAACTGGTTTGATGCTATCTGGGCACACTAAATTTAACTGGGTCTGCAAAAGCTAAGAAGGAATATCAGTACCACAAAACACTTCTTTGAAACTAAATGAACAGAATAAAGCAGTGAATTTTAAATGTAGCTTAATTGAAATTCGTCTATAAAATGTTTGATTTGAGGTTCCCACAACAGTGGCTATGGGCTAGGATAGTGCAGTCAGTATAGCAACTGGGGCTAGAGTTTGAATCTCGGTATGGTAAAGAATTTTCTCTTCTCCACGTCATCCAGACTGGCTCTGGCGCCCACCCAGCTTACTATCCAGTGGGTGCTATGGGGCTACTACCTTCTGGGATGTGGAGCCATGTAGTCCAGTAAGAGTTCACAGATGTTTTGGAGGAACAAACAACAAGAAACAGGCAGCAAGGAAAGCTGTGCTTTTCCCTTTCATAGGATATATTATATTCCTAATAATGATATATATATATATACTCCATTAAAGACACTGGTACTTGCCTGAAATGAGCTCAGTATCAACAACCTATATGTCTACCTAAACCTGATTCTGAAGTTTAACCTCTCTGGGACAGTTCTAACCTCATTACATAACCTCTATACATGTTCTTAGGATCATAGTGTACTTTATTAATGTTATTAGAAAGTATAATTGCTGAATTCTGAGCAGAAATTCCCTTAAATTAAATACTGGAGCTATTTCTGCTGATTAAGATTCTTCTTTTACTTTTAAGCCCAGCTTTCTGCAGTTTAGATTTTTTCACACACATCAAGTGCTTCTCAAAAAAAAAAAAACTACTGAATGTAAAGCAATGAAACTATGTTAATTTGTTTTATAGCATTTAATAATATATAATTAATAAATATTTTGCTGGAATAGGAATTTGGTGTGTATAGGCTTAATATTAAATCATGTGTACAATGAAGCCTCAAATCTTACAATGATATATTTATTTTTAAATATACAGTTTCTGTAGAGGAAAGCAAAAATCTGGCAATCAGTTATTCAGGATAAATAAATGAAATCCTGCGCCATCAAAATTCGGATGTCTGTGTCCTACATATATATGAAAGGTTTCAAAGAGATCTCCCTGGTACATATTGAAAAAAAAAGTACGTAAGTGTAAAAGTTGATGTTTTATTAACTTGTTCTTTCTGGAAAGAATTTTCTCTATTAAATTCGACTAAAATTATCACAGAAAACAATGATGCATGTAGAATGAACCTGCGAAATTTTAAAACTGTTGCACAAAAACCGCAGAAGTTATAAGCAAATATGCATATGCTTTCTGACTTACTTCCCAGCTTCAAGAAAATTATTCGTTGAGCATTCATATTCAGAACGCCCTGGAGTTGAACCAAGGGCCATAGTGTAAAGTATGAAGGCGTTTATGTAAAGTTTAGTGCATTTGGAGAGATAAATATAATTTTATTGAAGTGAGAACACTTTAACGCCTGGAATACATCAGATTCGAAAGCAGGCAATTTCGATGATTTTCAGCGCATCTGCAGCTTTTTACAAGTGACATTATGTAACTCGAATATTTATGGCCTAGAATTTACAAATATGCGTACATTCATATAAATTTCATTTTAGGTTATGATTTCCGCCATTATTTTTTAAGGTGAAGATCTCGACATATTGGATATTTACGACCTTATAGTAACCTTGAAGTATAGGCGGGGTTTGGGGTTGTCGCGTACAGGTGCCTGCATCGTCGTGCATTTGTCTTGCATCTTTCGATCTATGACGTCATCTGTTACATTGGCGGGCGTTTGTAACCCCACCCTCGACAGCTTCCCTCCAAAATGTATGCCGTTAATAATAACAAAAAGACTCGCTTGGTATAAGGCTATAAAACCAAAAAACCGATTTATTGTCAGTGTATCCTTGCGAATTGCTGTGCTTAAGTATCAGATCACGACGGCGTATAGGGGGCGCATGGGCAGAATACCAATTCTAGATCAGGACACAATCGTTAATGTGGGGTAGTTAGCTTCAGACTCCGGTAGCTTTACCTGCAGTGAAATGTATGTCTATGTATTTCATTGCTTTATAACTCCCTGTCGTCTTCCTGGTTTGTTATTTTTCAGGTTCTCGTGCTATATATTCGTATTATCGAATGGGAATACTATTCGCGAGAACAGGTTTCCCAACAAGCCACTTTCCGCGAAACTTTCTTGTTTCTTCCACCTTGGCTACATACCCACCCCATCCTAACTTCTAGTTGGATTAACAGTGCTTGACGACACCCAGTATACATTATTTTCTCTCCAAAAATTTTCTGAACATTTAATTTTCACTCATTTGAAGATTAATTTTCCTCCCTTATTGTAGAAGTCACGCTTCGAAGCTGTACGAAACGGTTACGTTGTGCATATATGCCAGTCTCTAGAATAGTATTTTAGCTGCCCCTTAGTGATTTATTAAGCATTCACAAAATCAATGAAATTTCATTATCCATTTTAATATTATCATCTGAGTCACCCATTGCTATTTTTCCATCAGGTGTTTCAACCACAACTTCCTACATATCGTAGCCTCTTTCATGCATATTGAATAATCTGTCCATCCCTCAGCTTACATTCATCTGATAATATTAAGTCTGATAAGCCAGGCGCCTGTGTCAGCTGTGTCGATGGCTGGTTTCAATGAAGCGCGACCCCGTATGAGGTATTTCCTGTTCCCTTCAACGTCCATGCGGGATCTTGGGAGACCAAGTACGTACCGTGGGGTTCGTACCCTCTTCCATGTACTCTCGATGTCTAAGAAAGTGTGGATGTTTACCTCCACGCCTTCATACACATCCAAAACGTAATACCCAGCTACACGAGCCAGTTTATCGTCAAATTTGTTTTAACGGTTTTGGCACGTGATTATAAACCAATAATAGCCATATTTTGTAATTATTTCAATTATCTTGTTCATTTATCTTCAAATGATTGTTTGATCTGAGGTTCTTACGGCGGCGAATAAGAAGAGTTGCATCTACTGGGTTATAACGCCATGTAATGCGATAAAAATCAATCGACGTTTCGGAGTAACATGTCTCCATCTAAATGGTCGAAGAGTGAGCTAAGGAAGAAACTAGAGTGAACTACGCTTACCCTTTGACCCTGAATATTGCGATATGCTCCTCCGAAACGTCGGTTGACTTAATCGGAGTACACGCCTTTGTATCCCAGATGATTGAATGTCTTTCCAGCGTTTTGTTTTGGATTATATGTCTTCTTCACTCAGAGTGTGGGACGGGGGCTTTGTAAACGTAATTATATTATAATTTTATGTTCATCGAGAGTTAATACTTAGGCCTGTGTGGATAACTTGGACTGCACCTGAAATGCAGGGAAGTCTTAATTTGGACAAATTATGATTTACACTTCAGTTATTTCAAACGAGCCGCCAATGAATACGTCATCGATATATCTTCCCGCCACTGAATACGTCATCGATAAGACTTCCCGCCAATGAATACGTCATACGTCTTTCCACCTATCGTAATCTGGCGCCACTACCCCCACTACACACGACGTCTTGCCCTGTAGCAATCGTCGTGACGTGACACTGAGCCGTCTGCGCGTGTGTGAGGTGGATGTGAGGAAGGAACAGGTCAGCGGGTTCACGACAGTTTGCGCTCTAGGTCAGTGTTCAGTGCCGTAAATTGCATCAGCTATATATCTCGCAGGTATTTGTAGCTTCGTATTAATTAAGTTGAATTAATTTCGGCCTAAAATAATATCAAA